TTTATAAGGAAAATGATAGTGATGAAATTTTATCCAAATTATATGAAAATAAGGAGATTTCTTTTAGAATAAGAAGATATTAATCTTCTTTTGTTACAAATCTAAGAGAAAATTAAGCTCTTTGACCCAGGAAAAACACAATTTCGGTACTAAATCGACCCAAGTTTCAATATCAAACGTGACTACAGCGAAAATTCAAAATAAAATGTACAAAAATAAGTATAAAACGCCAATTCATGAAAAATGCGTATATAATAAAAAATGGTTTGAATTAATTCTGACTACAAAATAAAAAAAACGATAAAAAAAGAATTATAATGTACTCCGAAAGACAAAGGACGATCAGTATGAGGAAAACCAGGAGACAATTTAATTAGCAGTAGCGTAGAGCTATCTTCTCTGGGCCTATACAGATAGAAATAGTGACTACATATTATTAGGGATCAGACAGTAGCTGCTTGATCGCTGAGAGTGCATGGCAGTTCAAGCAACCCTGAAACGGAGGTGCGGCAAATGGGACAAACGACTCCAGTCTGATGCAGTAACCGGAGAAGTCGGTGCCTCAAAACCATCTCAGATTGGAGAGCACCGTCGTCGTCGCCAGCGATAGAGAGTGTATGAGTGGAAGTATCGTAATTTTGTGTCTCATTCAGCTGATGATCAAGACATTCACGGCAGATGACGGTATGTCGACAAGGCAGAAGGGCGATAGTCACTTGAGCCGACAAGCAAATAACACAATCACCCAGAAATTGGCCTTTATGATGAAGAAGAGGTCGATGCTGAGAGCTTGAAGAATCATTCATGCCGGAGGGCGAAGATCTGGTTAACACGACAGAGCTGATTTCTGAATTGTCGCTGATATTTGACCTGGGACCAGAATCAAGCACTGACTGAGACATGGAATCAACTGACTCAGTTGAGAGTGTGTTTATCGATGAAGGCTGAGACCGTTAGGAAATAATAAATAAATAAATGGAAAAGAAGAACAAATAAAATAAACATACAGCCATACGCAATAGGTATTAGTAACAGGATTTTTCTAAGACTTATGAATGGCAACTTTATTTCCCCTTGATAAATCTGGAGAAAGGCTTACTTGGTATGATATAGAGGTGATTTAATCAGTACAGGTTTTCTCCAATCAGTTGTGATCGAAAGTTATATCTGAATTAAGTAAGTTTTGAGACTACCAGTAGACCTTGAATAAGAACTTCATTCAGCCTAGGTCACATAAGATGATGAAGGACTAATAGTCAAATTTTCCCATAATGCTAAGGGCTTGCGCTTGATTATAAGGATGATACCTTGCTCTGAAAATGTTCTTTATATGACGGACGAAAGCCTAGCACGTTTTCACCGGAATTAAGGGGGTTACCTCGGAAACAGCGTCAACATGAATGTTCCAGTAAAGCCAATCTACAGCTGGTCAAGAGGAATCCGTCGTCGTCTTCTGGTGGAATCGTACTTCGAATCTATTCACCAAACACTTTCAATCGAAATGGAAGCAAGCTCAACAATTATATTCATATATTCATATTACATTTTGTACTAGAATTGTCAATAAAGCGAACTGGTATTTGCTATTAAAACCGATTGCACTACTTACGTTCAGATTGAGTAGGTGTTGATCATGAATAAGAGCTGTGCCCACCCTAGGTTACATAAGATATTAAAGGACTACCAGTTAAATTTTCGCACACTTAAGTGAGTACGTCCCACAAGAGCATAAAGCTAAATTTGTAAGTTGTGAAATCTATCCGGCATTGTGGGAAAACTTATTTACCAGTCATTCATCTCTTCATGCAACCTCGAGTTAATTGTTAATATTAAAGATAAACCAGTAGTTTTAAAACCCACTGACGCCGAATGTGAGCATATTATCAAATACAAGTCTGCTTCACATATAATCTCGTCACAAAGTGTGACACGGGAGAGGCCTGCCCTGCCTTGTTCATGTCTGCCCTGTGATGCAATGGCGTCCGCAGAAGTCTCGCATGGTGGTAACACGTCGAGATTATACATGCCACCACTGGCATCCTATTCCCGTTGGGTCTACTGAGACGATGAGGTGAGGTCGAAGCTGCGATCCACCTTGAATGAGGATACATTTTGGGATACAAAGCCAAATGAAGTATGACACCGTGAGACCTACTTATATCCATGTATAAAAATGCAAAAGTTGTTTGTATCAGAAAGGTATTTCGAATAAAATCATTAGCAATTCGGATATAACATTCCATCATGTCTATAGCCATCCTTTTTTCAGTGGCAGGTTCTGAAGAAACATCATTATGAATAGTCTCTTAATAATCCAAACGAATAAGTAAAACAGATTGTGCATCTCAGGTATGATTTCTTTTAATCAAAGAAAGTGGTCCAAAAGAAATTACCTCAGTTAATGAGGAAAGAGTACCATCATTGGTTGCCGGTACTATAGAGTTCGGCAGAGACATCTCAAAGTGATCAGACGTAGAGTTATATAAAAGCTAAATAGAGGTAAAAATGTGGATGTGAGAATTTGAAAGTGAGGATTTGGGATATGATCATAAAGTAGTTAGTCCAAAATTAGGTATCACAAATAAAAAATGAAAATGAAGGAGCAACACTAAGCACTTACGCAACCGAACGAGTTTTCTATAGGCGATCTAGTCTTGTGTTCAGGGAGACTATGTAGAACGCACCGAGTCCGAAGTCGTCTGCCATAGCAGTTGTCTTGAT